TTTAGGTTCTTTGGGGGGGGGGAGAAAAAAAAGGTAAATCAGGCAAGAAGAATGATAAATAAATAAAACTATGGAAAGGCAAACAGGAATATTATGTTGAAGTGCTCCTTTTCTGCTAGCACACCGGACAGGTTTGCCCCCAAACAGCTCAGCGTGGCAAAAGCGAGGAGCTGGAAGCCCTGAGTTACAGATCTGGACTAAGGTGGCCCCTAATAAGAGCAGACACAGAAAATCTGTTGACTATACGGCCATCCCGTGCCCTGTGATAAATGCCTGACTGCAGGCACGCAGTCCCGTCCCAAAAGGAGCACTCATATTGTTGAGCAATTACGTTTTCAGCTGTACAACAAAACCACCACAGTCCACCCTCCTTTCTGACAGTCGGAGAAATAATCCCTTCTTTCTAACAGGAACAGCCTCTCTCTCCACGTGGTTTTTCACAATATACCGCTCTTCTCAGCTATATGGTTTTAAAGGCTTATAACCTAATAGGCAGACATACATGATAATCCAAGATTACAATCGGTATGAAGGCTACTTATCTCGCAGATTTACAACACAGGCTCTATTGGTTATTTATCTGCAGGGTCTCCGGAGCAGAACTATTTAGGTACAGGCTTTTTTATTCCTTCTATCTTACTAGTGGTGAAATACAGAACACGAACACAAATATGGCTCAAAAATCAGTTAAATGCTCGTCCACCATCTTTCAGAAATTTTGCTTTGGTTTTGGGGTTTTTTTTTTTTTGTTTGTTTGTTTGTTTTTTAAATAAATCACCAATAGGTAACTTCCAGGGAAAACAAACTCCTTAAACATACCATTAAATTACAAACATAGATATATGGGTATTTTAAATGGAAAATTAGGTGGAGAAAAAGGTACTTAAAAAAACCCATGAGCCTCTCCCTACCTATCGGGGAGGTCCTATAAAAAAGTTTTCAAAGATGTATGATCAAAACCTTCACAGACTGAAAGGAAAATGTTAATGTAGGAGAAAGAAGAGACTGTCAAGCACATGGAAAGCACGCTGTATTTATTGCTAATACTTTCTTCATACCTGTTAAGGGAAAAGACAAATCATCATTAGATGTTATCGTCTTTCATTGGTTTGTCCTGAACTGAGTTTTTCCTACCTCTCTTGGGTTGACAAAATCACTTATGAATTTTACACTACAAGTAAGAAGAGTCCCATAGTCATGAAAAAAACAGCCTTTTACTTGCAAAGATAAAAAAGCCTATGTTATTTTAGAGCAGAAGAGGGTAAAGATTTTAATCAGAAACATGGGACCACTTCCAAAGAACAGACTGACAGAGACAGCCTGCCATCTCATTAAGGAAAAAAAAAAAAAAAAAAATCTAGTTCACTAATTAACAAAAAAGTCAGGGCTATCATGGTCTCTTGGGAAAAAAAAAAAAGAACAAATTTTTACAAAACATTTAAGCTAAATTCCCTTCACCTTTCACCGGCAGGAGGCTTCTGCAGGCTGCCTCTGCAGCATGAGGCTGCGTTCTGGCCTGAGCCTTCACTCGCGCCAACTCGACAAGTTAACTCAAATGAAAGTACCAAGCAAGCACGTTCAAAGGGAAAACTTGTGGTGCAAAACACATCCAAATGATACAAGTGTGGAGGGTACCCAGAAGGGAACCAACCGCACATCAGGTGCTGGCAGCACTGCATGCCAGCGCCTACATGAGAAATTAAATCCTGGTGGGGCAACAGCTGCTTCTGTGAGCCCAAAACCACAACAATGGCTTCTAGCAAGGAGGCCCCCCCAGTCATCAAGGCTTTCCCAACCTGCCACTGGTTCGCCAGGCGAGAGCCACTGCTAGGAACATCCTTCCACCCACCGCCCTCCCGCAACCCCTCTTGCAGGGGCTACACCTTACTCTATAGGCATGTGTCGCATCTTTTTCGACAATGCTCCGATACCATGGTAACAAACTTGTTTATCTATAAATGCCAAGAATGATGGGCTCAATCTGCCAAAAAAGCACGATACTCCTGTTGTGAAAACCAATTTAAGTTAACCCGTTTTGAAGGCAAGTAGGACAAAGAGAAAGCAACGGACACATCTTTTTTCACTCCTCAGCACTGAGCTGCAGTAGATAATTATCGTAAGTAATGCAGTTAGCAGCAACAGGATGGAAGTGTCCTGCAAAAAGTGCATTTGTTAAAAGCCTCTGGCTACAGACCAAGTACTGAATTAATTTATGAATTAATGGCTTTCTGCTGCTTTTCTTTACCTTCTTGATCCATAAGGAGATATCAGTCTAAAGAGGAAAGTACCATGTCATTACCAAAATGAAAACACTATGACAATTCTCAACTCTTAAAATGAGACAAAAAAACCCAAAGCACTCTTGGCATCCTGAATAGAGGCATCGGGCAACAGCACATCCATTATCTATTGCCATCATCAGTCAGAACAGGTATATGTTGCTACCAGCAGAAAAAAAATGAACGCTTGCATTAACTCCTAGTGCTGCCCAGCCCTCTTCCGGGCCCAGGGTGTTCCAAAACCAATCTGTCTGCTTAAAGGTCAACTACAAAGATGAACCCCATATATTTCAAGCTACCCTGTAATGAAGAGGGAAAGCCCCTACCCTTCTCTCTGCACAGCTTCGCTTCCACTAGTCACCAGGAACACGGAACAGATCGTTGTTAATAACAGGTGCCTCAATGATCTATTTTTAAGTGGTGGAACGAGACACAGGCAGATCATGAGACAGGAAAGATTAAGAACAGGAGAAAATAAAAGCTGGAAGTATACAGTGAAAGGTTAAAAACATGAGCAAGAAAAGGAAATTATCTTCAGATTCTTCTATCACATCCTGTGCTGCAGCACCTGAGCAAAGTTGGAAATGTTTGCATAGGACAGAGTGCAGAGGTTAGGAGATGTTATTATTTCCAAGCCTTTTTGTTGGCTCTAATAGAAGAAATATGGTTTTGCGTTCAAAATTAAGAAAAATTAAGTGTCCTTCATTAAAAGCAGTGCTCGCTCCATGTTCTCTTATGCTAACAATCAAATAACTTTGACCTATGTCAGTGCCACTTGAATCCAGATCTGGTGGCAGAACACAGGCTGAAACGCTTCGGCTGTGCCTACCTGCTAAGTGACGAGACATGCACCTGGGTTAATTTTCACTTTAAACCAACTCGCTGAATAACAGACATACAAAATATTAACAAATAAACCTGTTTCATTCTATAACCAGAAATGGTAAATTAGCAGAAAACTACAAAAAAAAGCAGAGCATCAAACCTCCACATCACACTCATTCCTGAAAAACACAGGGGATTTTGTCATCTCGAATAGACACATATAGCGTTTAAATACATTGCTCTGGGCAGATTTGAACGTTACTGATGCAGCTTACGGGCGCTGTGACTACAAGAAGACATCAACCCCCAAACTGGATGAGAGAGCATGTAAAAACACTTACGAGCTACTGAGAAGTTATTTAAAGGTGATTCCCGCTGGTCAACATCCTGCGGTCGTTCCTTGTAGCCAATGAATGTGCCATCGTTCTTTAGAAGAAAATACCGCGGCCTCCATGTTTTTATGTATTCTCCTGGAAAGAAAGGATGGGTGAAGGGAGAGACCATCAGAAAATACCCCAAAATACTGATTCGCCAACAATATTTTTTTTAATATTGAAACTATATGTCATCCTGACATAGCAGCAGTTTTAAGAACATTCAGTTCATTCCAATACAAACAGTGGAAAAATACAGGCACTGAATCAGATATCGCTAGTGATGTTAACCATAAAAATGGGACTTCATAGAAGGTAAACAGCTATGTTTTGTTCTTCCATCTACTCCGATTTCCATTCAAATTCTGCAACATCTGCCTTAAATGCATTTTAAATTTTAAAAAAATCAGAGCAGATGTCCTATGTATTATTTTTGCTATTGTCATTTTTCATACTGACAAGTGGAGAAATTTTTTTCATTTACATTTTGCAGCGCAAGTATTTTAAACAACAATGGGTAATTTACTAATTAGTCAACTGCTTTATCAAACCAACAGTCACTTTTGGAACAGAAGAAGATAATTCTCTGCTTAAGTTACATAACATCACTCACTCCTCTCACAACATCTCAAGCGTGAAACACTAGATGATATATCACAATATGAAGGGGAAAACACTGGATGATGTATAGCCACCACAAAGAAGAAAACAAACACCTATTCTAAAAGATATTCCACCTTTGTCAGGGAAAACATCCCTTGCTCACACCACGCTACCGCTCATCTGAATAACCTGCGCAGGTAACAGTGACGTGACTGCATTACAGCCACGTTCAAAATCTCCAGCCGTAGAATAAAAAGAAAAGAGTTGATCAAAACCTCAGTTATTTACTGGATTTACTCAGCTGGGCTTTGGGAAAGGAAGACAGGGGGTCCACCTGTGGCTCTTCTGAGTGACTTTGTCAATGTGCCTCAGTTTCCCCCTTTGCTCATTGACCATGTTGTCATCTTCTCGGGCAGTCTCTCCAGAATCTCAAATAGCTTTACATGGTGTCAAGCTGGGCCTCGAGGTCCTACAAGGTCCTGCAGTAACGTTTCTATTCAGCTGAATCACAAAAGCCTCACTCAAGGTGCTATTCAAATCAGGGTACCAGCCACCCTTTTCTAACTCTGCTCACCCAACAACAAATGATTTTAAAAAATTAAAAAAAAAAAAGAAGTGGTCACTACAAAGCACCCACAGCTGGGCAGCAGCTATACCCTCCTCCTTCCATGGTATGGTTTCTTGTTTGGTTGTTCAGCATCAGGGAGAGGACGAGGGAACAGACTAGGAGCCAAGCTTTTTTCAGGTCTGCTGCAGCAGGAGCACGCCTGCGCATCCTGCAAGGCTGCCCCTGCAGCGGCTGGTACCCAGTGCCCACGGTTTCATTTGCTGTCGAGCTCTTCAAACAACCGCCAAGAGCAGTGAGGAGAAGACTCCCCAGATTTATTGGCTCTGGCAACCTTCTGCTGCTCTCCTGTTCTCCCAGGCTCCGCTCACACCCTCTTTTCCCGCTGCTCAGCTCTCCTCCACCAGTAATTTCTCTCCCAGCGATGTGCACCCTGCCTCAGGAACTCCCCTGCAGCTGCTTTGCCTCCTTCCTCTCCCCACGGACCTCCTTTCCTTCTGCAGTGCAGCTTCAACCTGCTTTGGGCACCAACTGTGTCACCACTTCTCCGTTCAGACTCACACTTTTCTTCCCTGCACACAGAAGCACAAGCAACGCCAACGCCCATGCCACGTGGCCATGGGCGCGTGCACGCCTAGCTGCTGCTTCCACCTGTTTAGCCCTTGTTAAGCCTTGTTAGGCTTTTGATTTTCTAATCTAAAGCAAAAAAGAGTTACCAAACTGGAGGACAAGAGTCACGCAGAGCTACCTTTCCAACAGCGGCCATGTCTGCAGAAAACATCCATTTGCACTGATGAAACAGGGCACGAGGCAAAAAAGATGAGAGGAAAAGGAATAAGCACAAACCTTCTCAGTCTTTCTTTTAGAGACATCTGTTGCAGCTGCAAGAGTTATACTAACCTATAAGGGGTTTACAAAAATGTCATTGTCGCTTTAGGAATTTCAGAAGTCGCCTATAGCTGTCATGGCTTAACATTTATAAGCAAGGCAGTAAATGTAGAAGGTTTTGTTGTCATCGTCCTTTTAATTCTGACCTTAATTAAAAGCTGAAAACTTTCTGGGATCAGTAGGAGATTATGAAGCCTTTCACATTTAAATTACCAGTTCAAATCAGCCCTGATCAGTGAGATTACTCCAATCTCATTACTATTACACCACAGATGTGACTACAGGGACAAGAAGATACATGGCGCATTCAGCCTAGCTCTTGCCGAGAGGTTTGCCAGGTAAGCAGGTCGGGGAGGTGGCTGCCCAGATTTTGGAACACACTGTTACATACCCGACTCGTTGGTATTTTCTTATCTTGCAATAAAACAGACCCAGGAGACCTAAGAACCACCTCATACCCCCTATCATACCTGCATTTAGGACTAGAGCCAGACCGGATGGGATGAAAAAATACCTGAAGAGGGGCAAGACGGAGAGTCTCCATTTGCATTGCTCTCTAATCTATGCTACACGTCTTCCCCACTGGTATTTACAGAGGAGACATTTATTTTTTGCAGATTCTGAAATTATTATCTGGTTATTTTCAGTGAAGTATGCATAATTTCACACAAAGTTACACTGTACTGTCACAAGAGACTCTTCCTCTTAGATTATTAGATGCTTTTGTTTGGCACTCATAGTTTCTTACAGCTTTTGTCCACCTATCTGGTTTCTCTGTTAGAAACACATCACCTAGCAGGATTAATCACATAGTCTTTAAAATGGTGTATTCCATACACATATAGCATCCTCCTCCACACTCACTCACTCTTCACTCTTTCTGTGTGAAAAATCAAGGATTTCATTACTGCCAGGCATTTTGCACAGACCATTCTACTTGGACCTTCCCTTATCCATTGCTTTAGCTGCTTATGGTACCTGATCCACCTTTTTAATTTGCAAATAAGTAACATGATTTTAAACTTCTTTTTCCACGTCTGGACCTTAATGAATCCTGTAATAAGGCAAGCATACATATTATTGACGATTGCTCTTGCCAAGGACAGTATGAGGCATACTGCAGCATCTGTGGTGTAAATTTTACTATATAGCACACTGAGGTTATACTTCTGCATCTTGCAGCAAAGTGGCAACACATTGCCTGGTGTGACTTCCCAATCAGATAACCTATAAGTAGAATTTTACATTCAAGCCTGAGCAAACTATCATTCCTCTACAGAAGTTCTGAAACACAGATTCACCAACACAGTCATCGAGAAAATGTACAAAGTGCATATTCTTAAGAAATAAGCTTATATTTTTATGATTAGCTAAAACACTATAAACTTCCTACAACCTGTGAAGAGGACCACATTGATCATGACAGCAAATCCAAGTATTTTAGGCAGAAAAGGAATCTGTCAATACAGACAAAAAAATAATTATGTGGAAACGCTGGGACAAAGCTGACTGAAAAACATTAACACCTTTTCCTTCCTCTGATATACTCAGTAAGCTGTCATGCCTGAAGAGTGAACTGAGCTGTTTCAATTTTTGCCCTGTGTTTTTTGTTCCTGTTGTGGTTTTGTTTTTAAGAACCATAAGCAAGAAGTTACTTGAAGTCACTAATATTAGTAGTTATGTAGTCACACTAGAAGAATTGTACCGAGTAGAGTAAATGCAAGCATGTGTGGCAAATTCTATCAGACAACACCAAAAAAAAAAAAGATCCACCATGGAAAAGTGAACAATTTACAAAGCAAAACATTTTTTCCTCTGTGATTCATTGCTTGTGTAATGCCCTGGCAGAGCCTTCTTTGTTTTCAGTAACAGAATGCTAACACTGCAGAGACAGGAAAGCAAAAGCATGGGTTATAAATCCTACATATAAAATCCTGGAACCAAATAGACTCCTCTGTAGCTTGCTAGCTTTATTATTTAAAATCTTTATGTACCATTCTGTTTACTCCAAGCAATTTCCAAATTGCAAAGATTCCCAAACTGTATATATCTGGAAATATACACAAAGATTGTTATAGACCGATTTCCCTTTATTGCCTTGTGTCTGCCCCCACACACTGCACATTAAAATACTTAACACACACTTAGAATGTAAATCCATCTCATGCCAGAAAAGCTTTTTCCACAGTAACATGCACTGCAAAGCACGCTTACGCCTGAATATTTCAGAAAAAGTTAAACACAAAACTCTTTTGGTTCATGAAAAGTTAATTCTACTGAGGATTTACAATAATGCAGGCTTAGGTTATTTTCCTTTCCTCCCCACAACAGTATCTCACCGAATCTGGAGCTGTCTACCACTGATAGAGTGTCTAACATCAGAAACAGCTGCCACTCCCTGGGAAGCTCACGGGGTAAGTGGAGAATAATGAGCAGCAAGCACCAGCAGAACAAAAGAAAATCCATCTTTATTTACCAACTGCTGCATGCTTGTTGCTGCATCAAGCTCATTCAAAGCCAACACCACACCCTTTAATTCAGAACAGACTATATTTAAGAAGCCTCTGCTTTTTTTTTTTTAAATCAACTCATACATACCAATGGTTTGAAAAAAAAATCATTAGGTTAACCAAGTCAGCATCCAATGATACCCTTGATATTTACAAAAGCACCGGACCAACTATTAGCTTTCTTATGGCCCAAAGTAACCAGAACAAGCCCAGGAACACCAACTGAAAACAAGGTCTCAGTTGTATTAAATGCACTCAAGTGGCTACCGCAAACCTATGGATAAATAATGCATTAAACTTTCTGCTCTGAGCATCAGAAGTAGCACCATTAACTACAATTAAGGTTAACACTCAAAATATTAGAGCTTTTGAGACAAGCAAGCCTTCGCTACGTTCCCACCCCCTCCAAAGATGTACGACATTCCGTGGTTGTACAACCCTGAACCGTCCGAGGGAAACACGAAAGTTATGCCAATCGCAGTGCGAATGTGCCACCGGTGAAAGGCGGAATGACTCATTCCTGAGACT